GTATCATGACACATTGTATAAACTAATTAAAACAAAAAGACAACTTTTGTATTATTTATTTTTCTTTCATATTTACTTTGTGTACAAGTATATTTCACAAAAAAATATGTTGGTGCATAAGCTTTATCTTCACATTGTACATAATTTCGACTAGATACTTCAATTGAACATGTTTTATTTCCTTCACATAATGATCCATCAATTAATTCTTGACAATGAATAAGATAGTCTGAATGTACATCAGGTGCACACATTTGTGTACGACGATAAACTTTACGTATTGTTACTTCAGTTAATAACGCTGTTTCATCTGGACAAGATAATTGATGATGACCTTCTTCGGTTGCACACCAAAATTTATCATATGTTTTCGATGAAACTTTAAAAAAATATAATTCTTTTTGTACTATTCTTAAATGTTAACTAATGTCTATTACAACAAAGAAAAAAAAATCTATGTTTATCCTTGGGGAACTAAACTGATCTTATCACATAATCGAAAATAAATTGTTTTGTAAATAAGCAAAAGCTTTTGTAGAATGACTTTTACTCGTCAATAATGAAGATAAATGAATATTAATTGGCGAAGTTCTATATTTATACAGAAAAAAAAATATTTGGATGCCATGTAAGTGTTCGTCAAGATAGGATTTCTCAATCTCATCAATATTTACTTTTTCATCTTACTATTTCAATGTCATTGAGGACAACATATCATCATGACTATAAATTAAGATCATGCATAGCATGATGACATTTTGAAAATAATTACTAATAAAGAAAAAAAAATAGAAAATTTTCCTTGATGATAGATATTTTATTGAAAGATTTATTTTTATAATGTAAGATATTTATGACACATACCTAATTGACAACAATAATACAAACTGATGACAACTGCCAGAATGCGCTCAGGCCGAAGCCATACCACCATCCTACATCGGATGTACATCTGTTATGATCTTAGTTGTTTTCAATTATAATTGTAATTAGTAACATGATGACTATCAATGACAAATCGCTATTGTGTAATTAACATCTGAAATAAAACAATAATATATAAGATAACGTACAAACATGGGCGACGGAGCGGTCTTGGTCTAGGGTAGGCTCAACTTTTAAGCCAAGCCAGCATCGAGAGTCAATTGCAAGACTTTTTTTTCGTTTATAATGGTAAGCGCTACAGATTCTCTTGCGAGGTTTAAATTCCGTAGAATTTGATAACTAAAGGATGGTTCGAAAGTTTCGACCCCTCTCTATAAATCGATAATATCCACAACAAACTTATACAAAGTTATTGATCAAATTGTGTTATTTTGTAGAGGAAGATGAGAGTTATCATTTGAAAAAAATATTTCGAAATACATAAATCTATTATAATGTTATGATCATTTTAGCAGCTTTGAGCTGGCATCCCACTCCACCTCTTTTTCCTCATTTTCTTCTGTTCTTTTAAAATTCCTCATTTTAGCCTCTTTTTTCGAAAAAATCCACTTTTTCCTCTTTTCTCACGAAGAAACAGGTCGTTGACAAAAATATTCATGAATATATTGATTATTGTTACCGTATCATACAAAAATATCACATTACAAACTGATGTACTGATCAGTCATGTTGCATAGCTAAGGAAGCTAAAGTGTATGATTTTAGTGATCAACTTCAGCGATATTATATATCCATAATCGGAACCCAATTTTTGTAGTTCTCTATCGGAAGCAAAAGCACTCAATTATGTTTCCAATATGAAATCGTCATTCTCTCACGATTTTAACATGTTTTTCTGGTTAAGATCGACATGTATAATTATAATCTCGAGCTCACTTTTCTTGATCATTTTTTTCGGCTCCAGAGAAGCTTGTGATATGAATCTAACAATAGATAGGTAACTCGTAGCGTAGCGCATGTTTCAAAGCAAAGAGTTCCTAGGATGACTAGATTCAGTCTAGAATTCTGTCAGATTCAATGGAATTTGTTCAGCAAGATAGCTTCCGATAGTATGATAACATAAGTTGAAGATTTCTGCTTATCAGAAAATGAAGTAACCCCTCTTCCTCTTCTTCCGAGTTTCTTCGTATTCAATCACACTTTGGAGGCTCGTATATCTCCAAACCGTACACGGAGAAATATAATCGTATACGAAGAAATACAAAGTAAAACGAAAAGTGTAGACGAGCTTTGTTTGTCTATAAACGATCATATTTTTGCGCATACGATCACGGATTTATACGATCACATTACTGGGCGATATGAAACGCCGTATTTTTCCAATTACGAGCGTGTTTGCTTGACATGGGTTAATATTGACAACGGTTTGATGATACTTGGAAGAAATCGCATATGATGGAATGCAACAGCAACAAACAGGGGTATCCGATAACCAAAAAGTAAGAGATCGTACAATCTACTCAATACAAGTAAGTCGTTTTATATAGAACCCAAGAAGATGATCATATGTCACTACGAAAAATTAAGCGTTTTCGATAGCACGCGGTCAAATGATTCCCACAAACCTGCTGTCTGGACACAGTTGCAACCAATGTATTAATTTATGTTGAGAAGAGCAGTCGTCCTATTCCGCAAAGTTGAACATTCCGGAACCAGTTCCGACCCCGGAATCGTTTCCAGCGATTCCGGAATAGAATATACACCGAGTCCCCAACAATTCCTAGGAATTCCGTTTAATTCCGGAATTCCTCAATTAAACAACACCAGAATCGCTGGGAATTCCTAGGAACTCCGTCCAATTCCGTCTAATTCCGGAATTACAACTTCTGTTTTTGTTCTATCAATCTTTATCGATGTAATAACCATCCGATTCCGTTTAGGAATTCCGGATTTGAGCCGAACCGGAATCGGTGGGAATTCCTAGGAATTCCGGAACTACAACTTGTCTTTTTATTCTATCAATCTTTATCCATGTAATGACGATCTGATTCCGCTTACGAATTCCGGATTTCAGCGGATTCGGAATTCGCAGGAATTCCGTCCAATTCCGGGATTACAACTTGTATTTTTATTCTATCAATCTTTGTCGATGTAATGACCATCCGATTCCGCTCAGGAATTTCGGATTTGAGCGGATCCCGAATCGGTGGGAATTGGTAGGAATTCCGT